GCCGGGGCTTCACGCGCTGTCTGTGCAAAGCCTGGGCACGGCCTGAGGGGGGTCTCCTAGCAGGGCCGGACCCCGGGGAGGCAGCTAGAAGCGGGGCGGAGAGGGCGCTGCGCAGAGATCAGGAATAGCCTGCAGGAGGTAGGGGCAGGTAGGATCAGCAGCCCTCAGAAGCCACAGGGGGGGCGGATCCAACCTCGGCTCGGGCACGTGTATTTACTTCTGTGAAGGTCCAGGTGGTTTCTGGAACTGCACCGGCCCAAGGAGGGGGCAGTGCTCGTTGAGTTAAAAAAGAGCAGCCAGAAATCCCGCCCTACCTGCCCCTCAGTGTCTTTAAACCTAACCAAAGATTATGACGTTCTTATCCGTTTGAACTTGCCGGATTGGCAGTACAGGTGCCCTCACCTTGTATAAAGGGTTAAGGTATTAATGAGCATTTACGCAGGTGACAGCTGTGAGGCCTATGGGTTAGAGCCGTGGTTTGCAGCGTTTGTTCCGGGGGGCTGCAGACTGTAAGATTTCCAAAGGAGGCCTTGCCTCCATTTGAAAATGTTTAGGGGGTCTGCAAATGATAAAAAAGTTGAAAACCAATGTGTTAGAAGCAAATCAGTAGACGGTGCTGTAGATAGTTATGAAGATGGGCATAAATCAGCAACCTGTTTTTTTGCCTGCATGGCAATTTATGAACACTGGTTTCAGTCCTAGGGAATGCAAATATTGAACATTTCATAGGGACAGAAATAAAAAAGGTTTCCCTAAAAATCAATACCAATGAAGAGATAATACTGAGCAAAACCTGAAAAGCAGTTTTCATAGTAAAATAATTACTAATTTATACAAAAATGGAAAAAATGTGAGCTTGTTGTCCTATTTCTAATCATAGCGGGCATATTCAAATCTCTAGAAAGGATGGTGTTAAACTGAACAGATAAAACAGTATAGAAACTGCATAACTAGGAAAAGGGCAAGCAGGTTGGTAGGGTTCTAGATAAGGAAACAACAATCTTCCAGGAGAGAAATGCACTTTTTTTCAACTATGCACAACAAAATTATCAACAGAGCAGAAATTACTGCAGGTAGTTCTAAATCTTGTAGGAGCTTTGCAGTGAAAAGAAGGAACCTCTGATCTCATCTTGAAAATTATAACTGCTGAACAATTAAATTTACTAATCTTGCTGAACATCAGGTAGCAGTTCTCAGTCACATTGGAAACAAAGAAAATGTCTCAGATTTCATAGCCTACACCAAAGTATTAGGTTGATGGATATGAATATCATTTCCATATAATCTTCCTAAGAAAAAAATACATAAACCTCTATAGTAAGCACTCACATAAAATGGAAACTGAGATTAATTTTCTACAAGCAAGAATTACTGAGAACAACAATAATTTAACTTACATACCTCCAAAAGACCCATCTCCCTTTTAGCTACTGATTTGAAAATCTTCATCAGAATAATTACTAAGGGCCAGATACAATGTCAAGAGAAGTTAATTGATATTGTTTCACCACCTTGGATAGTTGTTGGATCAGGTCTAATTGCCTAACTCCTGTAATGAATTAATCTCATGCACCTGGAACAAACAAACTTCATGCAGGGAGAACAAGACTCAGATAACCTAAGAAATGTCCCAGATATTCACACAAATCACTAACATCAGATGTGCATGCAGCACTCTTGTCCTATTGCAGGACGTATGTGTTTGCAGTGCTACAGCACAGGGAATCCAAGGATGAATTCATAGTATTGAGTTAAGCCTTGTCCTTCCACATCTAGGTGCACTTAGTGGGAAACCAGATAAGGGTGTTAATTAACCCCCTAACTAGTGTGATACAGCATTACTCACAGACACAGGTCCTAAATATATAGGGTGGGGGGAATTTTCTGAAAGCACTGCAATAGCTGTGGTCTTTAATCTAATTCTAGAATTCAGTCTAAATCTCTGTCTCAAAACTAGTCTAACCTAAAACAGAAGCAACACAAGGACAACCAGATGGTATCTAAAATCTTGATTCCTAAAATAAAAGGGGCTTTGTGATATCGTGAAAGAATAATCCACTCCAAAATGAATCCTCATTATTACAAATTACTAGAAGTTATTTTAACAAATGTTGGAAGATAGGCACATTTTGTTCAAATATTAACTCAGCAGTAGATCAGTGGCTATTAAAGGAATATCCTACCATGTTTCTGCTTCCTTTTCTGAACTGATTATGCTACATAGGCTTGCAATTTCTAGATAGATATAGGTTTATGTGGTGACAGACTTTAATAGGGTAAGAAACCCAGGAATTAGTTCCTCTTTCAGTCTTCAGCAAATTTTACCAGTAACCCTTACTAAAATACCTCATAGACAGTTTCTTAGATATAGTACATTCAGCTTAAGGCACATAGAAAAATCAGTCCCCTAGGCTATAACTAAAGACAGTGCTTTTTATATATACCATGTAGATCAAAACACAACTACAGCAGACTTCCGATAATCCGGCACTTTGGGACCCAGGGGGTGCCAGATTATCGGATATGCTGGAGTATCAGGAGGTACTCTGGCAGGGGGGCTGTGACGGGTCAGGGGGAGGGGGGAACGGTGCAGCATGGGGCCAACCCGGCAGCACCCCAACCCGGCAGCCGTGGGGCCAACCTGAGTGGCGCTGAGGGACCAACCCGGCAGCACTCCAGCTACTCTGCCCCACGGCTTCCCCAAGTCTGCAGCTGGTGAGTTTCAGCAGCGGCAGCAGCGGACTTGGGGAAGCGGCATGGAGCAGCTCCAATTGTCTGGCTGGCCGGAGCACTTCCGGGTTCCAGTTGGTGCCGGACTATCGGGAGTGCCGGACCACTGGATGCCGGACAATTGGAGTTTTACTGTATAGAGTGCAATGAGGTCAAAAGCACTGTAATGATTTAAAAGCACATAAAATAAATTGGATGCGCAATGTCCCTGTCACATAATCGGTATTTCAGATTTTGCTCCTGCTTTTTCTCAGGAAACCATAGCTATATCGGAGCATGATAAACTCACTTAGATCATCTCTTTCAGATTTCAGACCTGAACAATTAATCTGACAATACAGGCTCCAAATATTAGATTTCTATAACTCTGTCTCATGAAAAGACTGGGCACACATATGGCAAACCATCTTCACATCAGAAGACAACTTGCAAAAACAGATGGAAGGATCTAAAGACCAGCTCTGGAGAGAATGTGGAGATAGAAGTGTGCAAATGTCTGTCCTGAGCCCACTGTCATGGAGCAGTTCTATCTGTTTCCATTCTCTACAAGCAGAATGTTTCCTCTTTACACTGCTAGTGCACAACTCTTCCTTCCCTTCAATGACATTTCACACAGCTATAGCTACAAAAGACACATTCAAGCTGGAGAACAACACATATCTTCACTAACATTCTGCAACTTCAGCAGGTGTGCTAAAACAACATAAAAAGTTTGGATAGGGCAATTCCTGTGATATGTTCATAAAGGAATTGGGTACAGTGATTTCTTGAGATATTGCCAAATAATTCCATGAATTTATAACATAGGAAGGAAGGAAATAATTTATTACCTAAAACCAAATAACTTTCTGTAATAGCTATTTTTATTTATTTTCATTTTCTTTCTGTATCGAGTCTTTTTCTGGCCCTACAACTAGGTAGATTATCTTCTCTATACCCAACATCATTTAGCTGAAGTACAGACTCTGGGTATTAATGTGGGTGAAGGAGCTTTCATGTCTTTTAACTGTAATGTCCCATGTAATCTCTTGTTGTATACTCCTCTTTGAGCGTCTGTCCTTTGGAAAAACTTTAATTGCCTCTCCCACAGGGCTACTACTTACATTTCATAATAATCTTAGATTCATTCTGTAGCCAGCTAGGGAAAATAGTGCACTCCTGCCTGCTTTTGTGGACAAACTGAACTCGGCTTCCCCTCTTTGTGCACTGAAAAATACCTTCTATGGAAGTCTATGCCTTTGGCAAACTGAACTTTCTATTGCACTCGGGTCTACATCAGCACTAAATGAGCCAGTGCATTGATTGTATCTTGCTTAGTTCTAAAGAAAACCAGTAAACGTAAGTGCCTGGTAAAGAAACATGCAGCTTAAATCCCAAAAATGGAGATCTATATTCCAGTGATGTATGTGGTTGAATATTTTTGTAAAGATCTCAGTTTTGTACCAGCAATCAGTTGTGGGCCTATGACTGTGCATACAAAATTCATACTAGGGATGAAATTCTGCCTGTACGGAAGTCAATGACAAAACTCACATTGACCTCTGTAAGGCTACAATTTCACCCAAGAATACATTGATAAATTTTGAGTTTCCACATTTTTTGAAAAACAAAAAGGGGATAATAAATCTACCTTCCCACAACTGCCTATTCTGTGATACTTGCACTTTCCTCTGATGTCTCTGGTACTGTGAGCAACAGATTCCTGGACTGGATAGACTTTATGTCTGATCCAATAACTCAATTCCTATATTTGTAAATTTTTCACATTTTTTTTTGTTAAAATGTTTCTCATTTTCTGACCAGCTTGATGAAAATTAGATTAAGGCCTTTGTAAAATTTGGCCTGCTGGATTCACAAATTAAGTGTAAGTGCTCAAGACGTTCTCTTCGGATGAGGTGGTGTAGGAAGATTTTCTTCTCCTTCGCATAGACTTATAATAGTACAGATCCTGCTTAATATTATGTTATCAACTTATTAGAAAAGACTTCAGTCAAATTTACCTTGTGTGGGTAGTACTGTGTTTCTTCCCATCAGTGAGTACTGAAAGGTTGTCTGCCATCACATAGCATTCAGCAGTGTGGCAGCCCCTCCGTGTCAGTGTGAAAACATCTGTTGAATGGATTTATTGACTAGGTCTTAGGTGGGTTTTTTTTTCACACTGTTTATTACAGCCCTGACCTAATGAACTTAATTTGTTGACATGTTTCTCTCAGTGTCTTACTTGATCCCTTCTCACATTTCTTTCTACTGTGCTGTTTTCTTGGCAACAGCAGATCCTGGAACATCAACGTATCCAGCAGTTGCAAACGTACCAGGCTCAGATGGCTACAGTTGGCATGGTAGGATTAGATAAACACCGGCCTGTTTCCAGGACCCAGTCTTCCCCTGCTGCTTCCACATTACCTCATCCAGCAATGGACCAGCCTATCCAGCCTGTCTACATGACTGGTAGGACTCCCTAAGGACCTCTTTTAATATCCAGAGTAAATACGCTGTTCATGTGAGCTCAACTGATTTAAATGCCTTGAATAGCTCCTGTAGCAATGCCTTCATTTTTAACCTCATTGTTACTGGGTTTTATGTTGCTTTATTGGCATTAAGTCAACCAATGCAGCTGATAAATCACAGGGTTAATATTCACACAGCCATAAATTATTATCGCTCACTGGCTCTGGCAATGTAGAAACAGGTGCATTTTTGGTGTCTTTATGTCATTTACATTTTTTTAAAATGTTCCCATCCTCTGCCTCTCTTCTCCATGTTGTTTTTGCAAAGAGACCACCAAAGCATTGAAAAGAGACCACCAATAAGTGGCAAGGCTGGGATATGATTCTCAACATCTTCATTTGATGCCAGTGGGAATGTTACTCAGTCCTGCAGGGGTGCTGTTCTTCACTATGAAAAACAAAGTTCTGGCAGTATAAATGAGGTGATCAGTCATGAGACAGTGATGTCAGCCACAGGCTTGAAGTCTTTTAATGATTTTCTGTGAAAGCTAAAGATGGAGAGGTTTTCCTGGGTTGACACCATCTATTCCAGAAATTCAATAAGTAGCTCATATGCATATTTATGGTGCATAGAAAGATTGAGGGTCAGGAAAGTCTCCTATGATAAAAAGAAAATGCCTTAAACAGAAAGACACGTTCCTCATTTGCAACTAGTCAGAAGAAAGAGAATCTAACCTATGGGAGTGTATCGCAGTAAGTTGAATAACATAGCTGGAATCAACGTACACTGGGACACGTTACTGCAGAGTCAACACCATGTGGGGTCAATTGGAGACATTCGCCCATCGACTTACCTTACTCTTTCATCAGGGATAGAGTAGAGGGGTTGACTAAAGAGCGATCTATGGTCGATTTGGCAGGCCTTCTTCAGACTTGCTAAATCGATTGCCGGTGCATCAATCTCCACTCCGTAGATCCTGGTGGTAGTGTAGATGTAGCCTAAGTCTTGGACTAAAATTTCAGTGTGTGCCTATAGGCGGGAGATAAATCATGCCTTGCTTTTTCTAGTAGGAAGAAAGAGAGAATGACTTGTAATTTTGCTTCTCTTAAAATATTATTTCTTAAGTTCTTCTCTTAGGTCTTAGCTTCTTAACATGAGACTGGCAGAGCTCCTCTAGCTCCTAAAGTTTATAATTCTTGAGGGCATCCTGCTGAGGATATTTGTTGCCCTTCTAATATTTCAGTTACTTGACTATGAAGGAAATAAAGTTTGCAGAGAGAAATGACAATTGGGAGTGGTTAGCATGAGATTAAAAAAAATGTGCGTCTGAGAAAAAATGAAAAACAAGTTGCAAAAGAAAAACACTTGAAAAGGGTAACCTGTAAACACTAAGGGGAAGTGGGTGAATAACTTAATTGCTGCAAGATGACATCTTCAGAGAAACAAGATAAGAAATTAAGCATTTTTTTCCTTCTCAGGCTACGTCTAAACTACACTCCTTTGTCAGCAGAGGGATGTAAATTAGACGTATCGAAAGGGCAAATGAAGTGGGGATTTAAATATCCCGCACTTCATTTGCATAATGTCAGCTGCTGCTTTTCTTTGAAACAGGGCTTTTTTCGGGGGGCGGGGGAACCCCGGCAATTTAGACAGGGCATTTTCGAAAAAAACTCAGCAGTTTAGATGGGGCATTTTTGACAGAAATGCCCTGTCTAAATTGCCGGGGTTCCCCCGCCCCCCGAAAAAAGCCCTGTTTCAAAGAAAAGCAGCAGCTGACATTATGCAAATGAAGCATGGGATATTTAAATTCCCGCTTCATTTGCACTTTCGATACATCTAATTTACATCCCTCTGCCGACAGAGGAGTGTAGTATAGACACGGTCTTGGTGTAGGAGTCTCACAGGAGTTGGAAAGACATATTTGAGAAGAAATGTGTATAAATCTGCAATGAGTTGCAGCAATAAAGCAAATGCCAATAGTGTGAAGTGGGCTTTGTAATTATAAGTAGTGGTGGTAGTGGTAGATAAGTGTTAAAGGTGATGCCACTAGGGATGTAGTCTGGGATAATACATACTTGAAAAAGAGCCTAGGCTTGCAGAGTCAACCTTAATTTTGGCATTTCTTAACCTTTGAATGATTGACATAAAACTGCCATTGTTCTGTGAGCTGTGGGAGAGAACACTGAGCAAAATCCTGGGATTCAGAGTATTGTCACGCAAGCCCTGGAGTATTTAGGCACAAAACTGTGAGCTAAAGTTAATTGGGGAGGAGAAGTGAGGGGAACAGACCTTAAGTCCGATGTATATTTATTTGGCCATTTTATATCAGACTTCTGGAATTTTTTATTTTAGATTGTTATGTTGTTTAATTTATTAAAATCCCTTCCTTTGGGTTTTGATATTGGTATTATTGTTCTCAATACTATTTTATCAATGCTTCTTCATAGAAAACATTGCCATTAAGTTATTTGTTAGCCACGGTATTAGGTTTCCCCCTATTGCCCCAAACAGTATTAACAAAGTTGATCTGGATATGGAATTTTGGAATAGAATGAGATTTATACAATCCAGACTAGGAATAACTCAGATTTTCTGACTCAAATGAAAGATAGATTTCTTTGGTCCCTTATCTGTCATTGCGTGGTTGAGTGAGGTCACCATTCCATTCCATCACCAAGGGCCAGATTCTGTCTTTAGTTATGTTGGTGTAAATCCTAAATAATGCTACTGGCCTCAGTGCGTTAACACAAAGGCACATGAGATCAAAATCTGGGATGAGGCATTTTTTTCAAGAAAGACAGAGTAACTGTCTTTTAGTAATATTCCACAGCAGCCTGCAATTGAAAACAGTTGTCTCTTCTTTGGAGGTGGGCAGATTGTTGGCTGAATCCTGTTGGGGAAATCCTACAGGCTATTTTTAGAAGTGAGCTGTGCTGCTGCATTGTGGTATTGTACCAAACACATGTGTTGTGTGACCAGCAGCCACACATCTGAATTATTTGCACATCCTAAATCAATGTAGATGCTTTCAGTAAATGAAAATATGTATTTCAGTCTCTTTTTTAACCAAATAATCCTGTTTATAAGTAAAGTATGTACTTGATTGTATGAATATATTAACTGTTTAAAATTTTGGGGTGGATGTTTCCATTATGAAATTGTAGTAGTGACCCATTGACCTCATCTAAGCTCAACTGTAATTTTGATCTGGGGAAAATAACTCAAATACCCTAGAAAACACATTTTTGTTTTGAAGTTTCAGAGGGGTAACCCTGTTAGTCTGAACTTTAAAAACAACGAGTAATTCCGTGACACTTAGGGTATGTTTACACAGCACCTGAAACTCGAAATAAGATACGTAATTTGCACTACACAAATTGTGTAGCTTATTTCAAGTCTATTTCAAAATAGCTTATTTCGTCATTTGGTGACGTTTGCACAGCATCAAATTTTGAAATACTGTGCTATTTCAAGCTATCCCTTACTCTTTGTACAATGAGGTTTACAGGGATGGTGAAATAGCGCATCAGCTATATTTTGAAATAGCAGACGTGTTCAAAAGACTTGGGGTAGCTATTTTGTGATACCTCTGGTATCCTGAAATAACTTTGCAGTGTAGACATACCCTTAGAGACTAACAAATATATATATATATTGTATCATGAGCTTTCGTGGGCAAAACCCACTTTTGTAGATGACCTGGAGTGGAGGCTTTTGCTCACAAAAACTCATGATTTTATATATATATATATATATGTATGTATGTATGTATGTTAGTCTCTAAGCCCTAATTCATACTAGGGAGTTATTTCAAAATAACTTTCCTTATTTTGAAATAACAAGCAGAGTATCCACACTACCAAGCCCATTATTTTGAAATAAGGGTCTGGATATTTCAAAATAATAATTCCAGTTTTCCATAAGTAATAACACTTGTTTCTCAATAGTTATTTCGAAATAGCAGTAGTGTGGGAGCTCCACTGCTGCTATTTCGCAATAACTACTCCCCAGAGTCATTCAAAGTAATTACTCCTCAAAGTAATTTCTTCCTGGGGCTCTAAGTTGAGGTAGGGCCTTCACATTAAGGAAGCCTGCCTTGGACGAATTTTGAGGCTTCCCTCTAGTGTGGACGTGCTATTTCAAAATAGTTATTTCAGGAGTTATTATTTCAAAATAAGTTATTTTGAAATTATTTTTTAGTGTAGTCATGCCTTAAAGTGCCACAGGACACCTCTAAAATGTAATGTTTGCACGTTTATCTACATTGCTAGGTAGGCATCATCAAGAAATATGCTCAAAATTGTCAGTCACGTATGCCTATATAATTTCCCCCCAAAAGTAACTATTACACAGCACCTTTTAATTGCTAGCTCATTAAAAGTGAGTGATTTTATTTTTGTTGGTTAGAATTGGGTTTACTCTTGGAGATCCTCTTGGGGTCCTGATTAGCATAATCAGGACAAATCCCAGGTGGAAGGAGGAATAAGTTTTATATTCTTCAGAGACTTTGCAGATATCAACTTTAGGCACTGTGAGCGAAACCACTGAAATCAGTGGGACTTAGGCACCTAACTTGAATTTTTTGAAAATCTCACTAGGTGTCAACTTGCATCTTTAGGTGTCTAAACTTACTACACATATGCTTTTAGATAGTTTAAAAAATGTGCTTTATTTAATCAATTAATGGCCATTCTAAAGCTGTATACTGAGCATAAAAGATAATGCTATATAGGCACAGAAGAGAGATGCATAGCACGTGATTATGCACCTACAACATGAGTGTTCATTGGTTAGTTCTGAGAATTTATAAACCCTGACAATGAAGCGGGAAAACTTATAAACTGTGCAATGCAAATAATGTAGAGAAAGGAAATTCTAAACTGTACTGGCAATGCCAGTAGAGCTTTTAAGCCATATTAGATGATTACCTCCAGATTTTCTCTTTTCTTTTTTCCTTTAAAAGAAAACTAACTAGGAAAGCCAATGCAGAAAAATTAGCATTAATTCATTTTTAAGTTTGTAAGATCTAGGATGTTCAAACAACATAAACGTCACTATGTTGCATGGCAGTTATTTTTCTTGCTAATGTTATATGTAAACTTTACTAGCATATTGCCATTTTGTAGTCTGATCCCACACTTGTAGCCTTTGAAGTGAATAGCAGATCTCCTAGTACCAGGAGCAGGCTTAAAGTGCACAGGTTAGGTAATGTAGAAGCATTTATATATCAGAAACACCATAATTTGGAATGCTCCACCTTTTAAATACAACCTTAACTTTGATTTAAATGTAAACAGGCCCCGATTCAGAAAAATAAGCGTGTGATTGTGATTAACTTGTGCATGTGCTTAATGATATGTTTAAGTGTTTTGCTGAATCTGAACTTTAATTTTATATTTTTTTCACTGGCTGACTGTTCAGAAGTAGTAGACAAATACAATGTGTTGGCATAATCAGTGATGTTAGTACAAAAGAGGGATGTTTTAACTGCTGAATTGTGTAATAATTTACAGAAGTTGTTAATTTCAGTCTTATCCAAATGCATGCGGAAAAATATCCAAAGTTTTTCCAAAAGAAAAAGATCCAAAGTGGTTAGGAAAATATTTTTATTTCAGTAATTTCTGAGGGAAATGAAAACACCAGAGTTAAAATAAATAAATAAAAATGACTTGTCAGTGTCTTAGACTTGGATTTAAGTCGTGTGTTGAAATGAAAGGTTTTCATTGAGCCCAAAGACAAAAATACCCTAAAAGCATCTAAAATTGACATGACACAGAGAGTTGCTTGGTACTAAATTGTTCTGTCCTTGGATATATGAGTAAATCAAATTCAAAGGGAGCCTTGCATTTGGATCTGACAGCAAAATTTGGTTGTAAATTCATGCAGGGTATAACTCTCTTCTTTGATGAAAGAACGGTTTTGGCTTTAGCTGCTGTATTTGTACCAGTCACTTAAACTGTATATGCAGCATGTTTAAAATCTACATTTTATTCCCTATTATTTTCAAACAATAAAAATAAGGACTTATTTTGTCCCAGTTTTTAGGGACTTTTTGTAGTATGTTGAACCAAACTTTCAGGTATCATGTGAATGACTTCCCCATACTCTGAAATGAATATATGCCTTTCCCATGCCACAAACTATATCAATTGACTAAACTGAACTAAATGATTCAGTAATTCAATTGAATTATACTACCTATTAAAAACTGTCCATAAGGTACTTTTCAATGTAATTCTTCGAAGATTATGTGGTCTGGTAGTATTATTTCTCAGTGATTCTACTTTTATCTTCTATCCCGCGACAAGATTTTCTGCATATGTACAGCACCCAGCATGGGGTGGACAATAAATGGGAAGTAGTCCATGTTCACCAGGCTTAGCTTCTGATGGGTTGCCACTGCTTTGTTTTCCTGCCCCTTCACAGTACAGCTGCTTGAAGCTCCCATTGGCTGCGGATTGCTGTTCCCAGCCAATGGGAGCTGTGTGAAGCGGCGTCCCGGATTGCACTCCTTCCAATTACTCCCATTGACTAGAATCATGATCCTTGGCCAATAGGAGTGGCAATCACAGGTAATGGCAATGGCGGTTGTGGCCCTCCAGGGGGTAATACTGGTGAACTGCCTCTAGCCCATGGGCCAGTTATTGATCTTTGCTGGTATAGCACAATGGGGTCCTGGTCTATTACTGGGGACCTTCGGTACTATCATATTAATTAATATACACGTATGGGATATATATTTTGATACACCCAAAGTTAAGGGGTGTTAAAGTTCAGGAGTTTGGTTTTGGTAAATTTGGGTATTAAATAAAATATATTCATGATGTAAGCACTATGTGTAGGACATTGTAACCTGTATTTCAGTTTTGCTCATATTTTCTTGTTCTCTTTGTGCTGAAGGTGTTGTCTATGACAGTTTAATGCTGAAGCACCAGTGCATGTGTGGTAACTATGCCAACCATCCTGAGCATGCTGGAAGAATACAAAGCATCTGGTCAAGGCTGCAGGAAACTGGGTTGCTAAACAAGTGTGAGGTAATAACAAATAAAGACCAGGTAGTTGCACATTGCAAATTAATAAATCATTAGGTTGTGTCACTTCTGTAAAAATAGAACACATTGTCTCTAGAATAATTTGTTGACATTACTAAAATATTGCACATTCTGTTGCCTCCTTTCCACTGATAAAATGGGGTCGACACGCTGACATGATTTTATCCATGTGTAGTTGTGTAAATTTCTTCCGCTTTTAGAATCATAATATCAAACCCAGTAGTTAGTTAGTGAATGATCAAAATGGAGTTGCAATCTTTACAATAGTATCATAGTTTTCTTCTTCAGGCAGCAAACAATTTTGCTTTTGTAACAGCATGAAAGCACCCCCATTGCCATGTTTCAGCATATAAAACTTGTTTTCATAAGCTTTTTTCCTTGTCCCAGTAGTAAGATGGACATTAGGTCAGAAAATCAAGACACGCAAACCTCAATTCTCTAGACAATATCAGGGCATGTTTGGCATTTAATATATTTATATTTTAATTTCCTTTACATTTACAACATTGTTCAATATAAGGGAAGTTAAGCTCTGTAATAGATTGTGGAACTCTTATCAATGGAGGTTTTTAAGAGTAGGTTGAATAAACATTTGTCAGGGGTGATCTAGTTTTATTTGGTTCTGTTTCCACACAGGGTATTGGACTAGATGACATTCTGTGACTGTGTATTAGAGCATAATAAGTTAGTTAAACATGGACTGAAAATAGCCTCCATTCATCATTTTGCAAACCTTGGAAACATGCACAAAGGAGTCGGCTATACAATATATTTAATGCCTCATGAGAGGTCCTGAACATACTTGCATCCTCCTCAATTTCCTGGGAGTTGAGGATACTGCTTCATAGGAGCAAATCCTGGAAGAGATCAGTGACCACTACTCCCATTAGTAAAGTTAGTGGGTGCTTAATGTTTTGCAGGATCAAGTTATTTCCTCTGCTCTCATATTCTGGTTTTCACATGACATTGTGTTGTTTACTAATACTTTTGCAAGTCTACATGAACTAGCACTTTTGGTTACTTCAGAAATTTTCTGCTCTGTAGGGTTCTTAATACATAGAACTATAATGTAACAAGCATTGTAAATGGATTTGTACACACAATACCCTAACAGGCAATGCTCTAATAGGCTTTTTTCATTTGCTTTTTTTTTTATTACTGTTTTAGTAGGCTGTGACTCAACAAGGTGCTTAAGCAAACGTGTGACTTCTAGCACGAGTTATTCCATTGATTGTAATGGGTCATGAACACATGCTTAAGGAATAAGTTAACGTTAAGTGCTTTGGTAATTTTGGAGCCCAGTTACTTTGCTGACTCAAGATCATAATAAACAAAAAAGAACATGAGTAAGATGCATTATGTATTTTAGTTACATATTCTCTGCAGTAAAAAAGTTGGCATTACAGTAATGCTGGCATTATAGAAAAAAGCTGGCATAATCAGAAAATTGTGTCAAATCTTTGAAAGGCAGCACCTATAATATGGTGCAGATTGATTCTTAGGTACATATTTCATATGCTTATGATACATTATAATTCACAAGTCTAGTAGTTTTCTGGAACCCATGAAGTTCCAACAGCATATCTCATTATAAAAGCATATCTTAGAGTTTGCTTTTACTCTTCATTTTACCTAAACTGACACCCTGAATCCATATACTCCTACTCTTTGGGAAAATTTGGGTTTGGAAAGAAACTTTATAAGGGTCCCTATCCATATATGTGATAAGCCAATCCAAACCATAGATGTGAAAACCTCCAAAACATTGGGAAATTTGGGAAAATGTACAGAAACCACCACTGGCATGTTAACAGGTTACATGAAACAGAAACAAATAGTGTGTAAAAAAAGATCAGAATAAAGCCTTATTGTTTATATACATTATCAGAGCAGTGGCCATAATAGTTGCCTGGTCATAGGTGGTCTGCATGGTCTCCTTTTGTCTGAATACACTCTTATGTAAATCATTAAGGACCAGATTCAGATCCTGTTAGTCTGATCTTGTAGCACTTTACTTCCCAAGTCACCCCAATAACTAATAGAGTAAACAAGAATGATATATTTGGAACTCCAAATATTTTATAGGTCTGAATATAATTAAAGGTGAATATTATGTTTTACTATGTGTAATATTAGGCCAAAATGACCTTTTCTATATTAAATATTGAAGATTTACCCCTACAATTAACTTATTTTACAAATGAAAATGTAGCCTTTTAGATCTTGCAGGATTCTGTAAGTTTGCAGGAATATTGAGGAAAAAGCACTTTAACTCTAGCCACTAATTTGGTCCTCCTATGTGTTTGAAAGAAAGCCTTTTATGAAGTTTACTAATGTTTCACAAGTGGCATTTCATAGCTTGTCATATATGTGTGTTTAATTATTTGAAAGAAAATGGCTTCTTTTGTTGAAATTATTCAGAAATTGCTGTTTTAATGGTTCTAGGGTAAAAATAGTCTTTTTATCCAATAAAGTGAAATCTGACGGGGTTCAAATTTGAGATGCTTTGATAGGGAGATATAAGGAAGTGCACTTAGCAAGTGTTTGTCTTAACTTTTTCTCTGGCTAACAAGAGGAGTTCATATGACAGTCCAGTATTTTTTTTACCCTTTATGAACTCTAATGCCCAGTTGCAGCAGAGCATCTTAATCACATACTTAACATTAAGCATATGCTTAAGTCTAGCCTTATTTAACAAAGCATTTGCAGCAGTAGACAGGCTAGCCTGAGATATTTTAGCTGACCATTCTTTTTATTTAATGAAGCAGATTTTTTTTCACTCATTACACTTTGCTTTTACTCCAAAATGGCTGGATCATTTTCCCATAAACTTAAAGAAAAGTAATAATTCTCATTCACCCCATGACCAACCTATGAACATTTTAGTTTGAATGGTCTGCTTTAGAAAGTTATTAATGACTGAAAATGAGGGTAAAGTGGGATAATTTATATAGCATTTACTATCTTGGGGACTTTGATTTGTGTGTAAAACATTAACATAATATTTTCATTTAAGTCGAGCTCTTAGCATGTGCATTTATTGATGTACCTACCTAGCATCTGACAAAAGTCTATGAGCATAGATAACCAATTAAGTACCATATGATGAAACAGAACAGAGCATCTGAAAGGTGGAGAGTATCACCTAGCTGCTAGATTCAACTTTGTAATGTATCCTGAGGAAGGGGAGTTTTGATAAGTGGCCCTACAGATCTTACTCTACAGCTGTGAGTGAAAGTTTCCTATCAACATCCAATAATTGTTGATAGTAAAAGATGCCAATGGGAGACCAACTGAATTAATCTTTCTCCCTTTGGGGATCTTAAAAGAGAAGACTTCGGGAGGTGGAATGAAGAGGAAGAAGTTGTCTGCCAGCAACCACCATCTCTTGGAACACTGAGATCTTCCAACACCATTGGGTCTCTGTCATTCTGATCATAAAAGATATCCTGATCAGTCCAGGGTCCAGGCCAGAGAGAGGGACTCAGATGACATCACTACCTCCACTGGCTTTGGTTTAATCCTGAACCACCTCTGGGATGTGAAACTTTGTCATCATCCCATTTATTACGTCTTTTTTCTTCCCCACTGAGAACCTAGGCACCCGTATATTCACACACTACATACTACTATAAGGGTATTCGTGCAGAATATGCTCCGTGAGGCATCATTTGAAAACTAACACCACACTGGACAGTAATATCATTGTAAAATTAATATTACCACATCATATGTAAAGTTATGAATTGTCTCTGGGTGATGTTACTAGAACATGTTTAAAACCAGATGGGCTGGCCTAGATAAAAGTAATGAACAGGTTTGTCATAAACAAAGTAATGTGAATTCATCTCAGTCATATATTAGTATTAAACAATGCAGTCAATCTAAATGAACAGGAGTTATCCTGAGACTGAACTCATGAGATAGAGAATGAACAAGGCTTCTGCAACCTAATCAGACATGGGAGATTGACTCACCAGAAGGCTTTCTTGACTTTTATGACAAAGTCAATTCCTTTTGAATGTTAGGGTGAAAGAGACTTCATCTTTATCTGACACTTGAGGAGACAAAGAAACTTTGCACTTTATGCTCGCTGTGCTGGGTTCTGACCAGAGGGTCTGGTCAGCCATGTTAAGTTCATTTGTTAACCCATTCTAGCATCAACCCTTCTATTTAGTATCACTTAATTAATGTCTTTTTGTTAATAAACTTGTTTTATTTTTACTATAATCCAGTTCAGTGCCGTGTTTGAACTGAAGGGATTGTTCACTCCAGTTACAGTGATAAACTGTTGTCTCTTTAAAAGGACCAATGAACCTTGTTACTTCTGTGAGTGTTCCAGGAGAGGGTTGAAGACTTTCAGGCAGACATTTCTGGAGTGTATTAGTATCATCCTACAAGTAATCACCTAAGATGCTAGAGACCAGGGTGGAGCTATTGTATTATAGGCCTGTTAACCAATTAAAAGAGATTTTTACATACCTATAGGGTAGGCAGTGACACAACCTCTCACTGAGTTGCACCTCTAAACTCCAACTTCTCTTCTCTTCTCTTCTCTTCTCTTCTCTTCTCTTCTCTTCTCTTCTCTTCTCTTCTCTCTAATAAGAGTCTGAGTCAGTTGGCCAAGACTATATATTGAAAGCCTGCAATCAAAGAGGCAATTAAAATCATCATTCTCTAAGCAGCTTGATGTTGATACAAATTTGGTAGTTGTCAGAGTGGCTAATACAATTGTTCGCTGTGCATGTGTTTATTCCAGCAGTGAGATTGCAAGGGAAAGTCAACACGGGAGACAGAAGCTGCATTTAAACACAGGAGACAGAAGCTTTCCCCTTTTATGTGTATTTGTCCTGTTTTGTCTTCTAGGAAATAGGATTTGATTTTAATAACTCCAGCCCATCTCAACTAACGTTTCCTTTTTTTCCCTCAAAGGACAATGACTACCATCTAAGACCTTGGCTGTCTGACTAGGATTCTTTTCC